GCTCAAGGGATTCTCTTGCCTCAACCTCTCAAATAACTGGGACTACAGGCACCTGTCACAATGCCTGGCTATTTTTAGAGACCAGGTCTCACTCTTGCTGAGCTTGTCTCAAACCTGTGAGCTTAGGCAATCCATCTGCCTCAGCCTCCTAGAGTGCTAAGATTACAGGTCTGAGCCACTGGGCCCAGCCTATTGTTATAATTTTTATCTTTTGTCTTTCTAGCTTTATTAGAATAATGTGAAATAAAATTATTGCCTTAAATAAACTTAGTTTCGTACTTTTTTCTATTTTACCTTTTTACCAAAACTATCTTTTGATTTGATATTCTAGCTTTCCTATTCACACCTTAAATTATTTAATTTTAATTCTGCTCACAAAATATAAAATTTATATTATATACAAAATTAATCAAAAGCCTATCAATTTTTAAAATGCGAGTTCAAATTATAGAGTTATTCTTAGACATAGAGTCATAATTTACCTTTACAGCTGAGAACCATAGATATCTATTCTCATTTTATAGATGTTTAAAGCAGATAAGTTTGTAATATAAAAATAATCTTTACTTCCCATCTTTTCAAAATAGGATGTGAGCTGTAACGAAATTCAAACTATACCTTCCCAAATTGGCAATCTGGAGGCCTTGAGAGACCTTAATGTAAGAAGGAATCACTTGATACATTTGCCTGAAGGTGAGAGAGTGTGAAGTAATTGTTTTCTTAATATTTTTCTTTTAATCTTAAAGCTCTCCTAGAGTGATGGATACAATACAAAAATGTATCAGAGTTACATCCAATGTTTGAAATGTCATGTTTTATTTAATAGTGTTATCTGTGCCATTGTGAATTTTAAGACTCTTCAGTGGAAAGTTTTGATATCTATTGACCTTTGATTTTATTTTTACATCTTTTCAACTGATATAATTGATAACTCAGGATAGAGTCACTGGAAATTTCAGTAAGCATGACTGTTTGGGGGAAATGTAACATGTTTTGATGAGGGAATAGTTTAGTATAATGAAAAACATTCCAACAATTAGCACTGACTTGAAAATGGACTTTGACTTAAACCTAACTTCATCCTTCACTTAAAAGTTCAAACAAAAACAAATTAACTGTGTGGAGGTAATACATAGAGTGACTAATGAATGGACTGTGAGATTACACTAGGAAACTGCTTATTTTAGGCTGACCATAAACTCTAGTAAATGTATTTGAGTGATAATGATTAAACACATTAAGTATAATTTATCAGTCTTTCACAAATACAAATTCATGAAAGAAAATGTGATAAAAGAAAGTAAAATTGGGAAGAACCATTATTTTATTAGATCCAGAATATATATTTGTTTAATTTTATTGTGGATAATTTCATACCTAAGTGAGAACAGTGAGCTTCCATGCACTCATCACCCAGCAACAACAGTCATTAGCTCATGGCAGCTCTTGTTTCATGTGTATTCTCATCTTCTTTCCCCCACATAATCTTCCAGATTAATTTGAATCACATTCCAGAAATTTATTTGTAAAAATTTCAGAAAGATGAAGAGTCTTCTGAAAGTTTTTATGGTAATGATTCTCTATGTTCTTGTACAACACATGACTTACAGTATACAAGAAGTGTTGAATTAACTAAAGACATTTTTGCTTTTGCTGTAGAATACAAACATCTTCACCAATTCGATCCAATAAAATATAAATTTCTGACATACTAGCATACCTTTCACATTTTGGATTCCACATAAACTTATAAGAAAATGGCTGGCTCGGCGCCTGTGGCTCAAGCGGCTAAGG